GTCTCGCTCTTGCTCAGGCTGGTCTCGAACTCCTGACCTCAAGCAATCCTCCCACCTCGGCCTCCCAGAGTGGTAGGATTACAGGCGTCAGCCACCATGCCCAGCCTTGGTAGTGTTTTGCTGAGGATTTTTGCATCTGTATTCACAAGTGACAGTGATCTGTAGTTTGCTTGTGATGTATTTGTCTCGATTTGGTATCAGGGTAGTTAATACTGGCCTCATAGAATGAGTTGGGCAATGTTCCCTTCTATTTTATGGAAAAATCTGAAGTATTGGTGTTAATTCGTCTTTAAAAGTTTGGTGAAGCCATCTATCTGAACTTGGACTTTTCTTTGTGGGTTTTGTTATTTTTAATCACTACGGGTTGAATATCCCTTATCTGAAATGCTTGGAACTAGAAGTGTTTTGGATTTTGGAATATTTGCATTATATTTATCTGTTGAGAATCCCAAATCCAGAAATCAAAGTCCAAAATGCTCCAATGAGCATTTCCTTTGAGCGTCATGTCAGTACTCAAAAAGTTTCAGATTTTAGAATGTTTTGGATTTTGGAATTTTGGATTTGGGATGCTCAACCTGTAATTCGAATCATATAAGTTGGTCATTGGTAGCTAAGGGTTTGTCAGTTTTGTTAACCTTTTTAAAGAACCTTGAAACCTTTTGTTTTGTTGATTTTTCTCTATTTTTCTGTTCTTTATTTCATTTATTTCTGCTACAATCTTTTTTATTTCCTCTATTGTGCTTGCTTTGGGTTTAATTTACTCCTTTTTTCCTAGTTTTCATGGTGGATGTTTAGATTATTAATTTGCGATCTCTTGTTTTAGTATTGGTGTTTACAGCTATAAATTTCTCTGTAAGCACTATCTTTGCTGGCCCCTGTAACCATGTTTGTTTTCTTTTTTGCCTTTCAAGGAAAGGAAAGATGTTTTTCCATTGTTTTTGAGCTTGCTTGAACAATATGAAATTGCTGATATTCAGTCATTTTTGATCTACAGAAGTGGTAATTTCCTATGTTTCACCCTAATATGAATCATTCTCCCAAACATCTCATTCCCTCCCATTACTGCCTGTATTATCTTTAGTTTTATAGTCTAAGAAAACAAGCTCAAAAAGGATAATGGGACTTGTCCATTATCATAGGACTGATATGTGTCAGGATAGAACTAAAACATATTGAAGACCTGCTTGTCCTGCACTAACAGTTACAAGGAGCTTTCAATCTGATTGAGGGACAAATGCACATGAAAATATTTCACATCTGGCCCCTGATAATGGTATGTCCCAAAGTGTTAGTGAAAATTGTCATAACTGATTAATGTTCCCGTCATTGTGTTATTGCTGTTGCTCATGCCTTCAAACATTTACTTAGTCCCTGTTCTGTGCCAGGCACTCTGTGAGTGAGTTGGGTGTGGTGGGGAAGGAAGAAGAAGAGGCGGAGGGGGAAACAGGAACACAGCCTGGTACCTACTCTGAAGTAGCTTGTGGTCCAGAGGAGGAAGGGGACAAACGAACCATTAATTGTGATATAATAGGATAAATTATACAATAGATAAAGCCCCTAAGGGAGGGGCACCTAATCACTTTTAGAAAGGAGAATGTGAGGAAGGCTAGTCAAAGAAGATTTATGGTGGTCTGGTTTGCATCTTGAAGAAGGAGCATTTTGCGTAGAAGACAGGGAGAGAACATTTTAAGGGAAGAACTTGTGCAGAGAGGCATAGGAGAGAACACACACATTCAGAACCTAGAGTATGCATCGGGAAAGAGATGAGGCTGGAAAGGAAAGTAGATGGGAGATTATGAAGGGTGTTTTATCCCAAGGCAAGGATTGGGGAGCTTTTGAAGATTTCTGAAAAGAGACCTTTGAATTGTTTGTCCTAGGTGGGTTTGGAAGTCAGCTGCTCTCTTTTGCCATACCTACTAGTAGTTCTTTCCTCATGAGTAAAATGTTCCTCTTTTTTTTTTTGACTCACAGTTCACTGAGACTTTTTTGGTGGAGAGGGACAAACAATGCAAATGGAGTGGAATTCCTCAGTTGCTCCTTAAGCTGTATGCCACCAGCCACCTCCATAGTGACTTCGTTGAGTGCCAAAACATCCTCAAGGTAACTCTTAGCAGGGAGAGACTGTATTCAGGGCCTCCAGGTGACAAAAGTTGTCTGCTTTTTATTTTCCCTTCTGTCTGCTTTTTTAAAAATAGCCTGTTTTTATTGTGTGAGCTATAGAAAATTTGAGTTTAGAAAAAGTGCAAAGAAGAAAATAAAAATCACCTATAATTCCACCATCCAGAGATAATCACCATTGGATTCCCTGTGTGTATCCTTCTGGGCTTTATTCATGCTTATTTTGTGGCAATGCTTGCTTAATTAATTTGGGAGATCAACACTGTGTTCTAGGGTTGGGATGATATTCTTTTGAAACAGGATTTAAAAGATCCCATATTACTGAAGGCTCATGGAAAGGACCTTCTGGTTGTTGAAAATTATCACTAACATAAGAAGATTGAAGGGGCTAAGTTTGGTAGTTGGGAGATGGATGGCAAAACAATGCAAAGACATTATAGGAATGTGTATCAGAATCACCTGGAGGGCTTGTTAAAGCACAGAGTGCTGGGCCTCACCCTAAAATTTCTGGTTCAGTAGGTGTGGAGTTACCTTATCCAAACTTTAGCTTGGGGCTGGCCCCAAATTTGAATATAGAGCCACCAGCTCTAGCTGCAGTTAAAACCCATATAAGTTATATTTGATCATAATGAAACTAATGAAACTAGATGACATAGTGTTATTCAGAGGTGAGGTTTTGATTATGTCACATAATAAGTTATTCTAAAATATAATAGAAACTAAACAAGCTTTGTCTTTTAAGACATAGTCTTGATCTTCTCACAGTCTGAGTGATAGAAATTATAGCTTCTTCTTTAAAAATGCATTGCAAAGCATTGCACATTATTTGATTCCTGCTGAATTTCTGAGATGTGAGGTTGAGCTGAGATTAAGGGAGAGAGAAATTAATTGGAAATTTGTGAGTCCTTGCTATGTGATCATTATTTCTTT